CATTTATGTCACACAATGCTGTATGAGACGTTTCTCGCGGTTAGTATCATGGTTGCTAGGCAACCTGAACAGCGCGACGAAGGCTAGACCGTCCCATTTCACAAGCCTATCACTTCCACACTTCTCGTACTTATAGTATGCACCGTATGTAGTACGCGTAGTACGTGTAGTGTGCGTACTTCAAGCGTGCAGACCCTGAATTGGGACACAGCCCTTGAGGAGGTCAGTTTGCCATTTAGAACAGCTGTGTTGGATCAAGGACACATCTAAGACCTGCAGGACACCGGCTCTCGAGGCCTGGAGTTGGATACCCTTCGCCTGTGACGTGTTGAGGGTTAGGGGAGATCTAATAAATGTGCTAAGCACTACATGTGTATAAAAAAATAATGATAATAATTTTAAGTGTAGTTTTAAAGCATCGGTGCAGAAGTTGTTGAGATATTTCAGTCAAACCACAAATATGAGCTTCACATCGTCACTAGAAGAAAAGTCAGAGAACACATGGCTGTGATATATGGGGATGATGAAGGCTCATTATTACTTGATAAGTGAACAATGTAACCTGCTTGCTTTTGCAACATCTTTCTCTCAAACCAATGACTATGATGTAAACACTTCTATATCTCTATATTCAAAGTGAAATGTATTACTTGAAAACAGGTTAAAAACATTGACCTCTGCCACAGGTGGCTGTTTTTCAGGGGGTAAAGCAAATCATCTGCTAATCAGAAGGTTGGTGGTTCGATCGGTAGATGCTCTAGTCGGCTTCCAAATATCCCCAAGTTTATCTGAACATTCTGTTGAATGTTAGACAAAAATCTAGAAAGAACACATCACATATAATTTGATTTGCATGTCACTGAGTGAAATAAGTATTTGATCCCAACCCAGGCAGGATTCTGGCTCACACAGAGTACTATCTATCAATCACTTACCATGAGGCGTGAGCTCCAGGCTGAGGACAACCGATGATCATTTCACATGTTCATCTAATTTTTTTCTGCATTACTTCTGGCTGATATTCTGTCTCCATTAAACAGTGAGCAAACCTACAAATTCAGCAGAGGATCAAAAAATTATTTCCCTCACTGTGTATGAGGGGACAGCTTGGACGCTGCCACAGTGAACCATGTGAAGGAAGCCAACTCTTCCCTTTGAACACACATTTACTGTACAGGGTGGGCCATTTATATGGATACACCGTAATAACATGGGAATGGTTGGTGATATTAAAGTCCTGTTTGTGGCA